ACCTTGTGCACACAGGATGTCCTCAATCCTCTGGGTTTTAGATGCTGAGCATAGATCAGCGCAGGGGACCTGGTGTCACCTCCAAATGTCCATACAAGATCACTATGGTATCCCATCCAGTAACCCAGAATAGTCCACCGTACCATAAAAGAGAATCGGGGAAACTCACATGGTGTAAAACTGTGTATATCCTTTTCATTGTAAAAGAGTATATCTTTTACAAACTCTGTCCTGTGCATTTCATCGGGGGTGTGGAAGGGTGACGTCACCACGCACGCTGGAATTAGGAACTGGCCAGACTGACTCCAGGCATTTTTATTACAGTGGTTGTAAAGGCAAAAAGTTCTTTACCTCCATGCCCCTCAGCCCCCCCTCCCCAATCCTTACCTAAGCCCCCTCCAATCCTGAGATGTTCATAATAGCCTCAGCTTTATGGGGACTCCCCCTTCTCATTGCCTAAGACAGCAGCGGTAGCCCATTGGGTCCCGCTGCTGTCAATCGCAGCCAGTGAGCCATTGGCGAGAGAGCGGGGGCAGGGCCAGTTCTATGTGCCTTATGAATGCATAGAGCAGCGGCTTGGGAGAGAGTATGTAGTGGTGCCCCCAGTGCAATCGGCTTTCTCTGGGGGTGCTGCTCAAGGGGGAGGAGCAAGAGCACCACGGGAGACCCAAAAAGAACAGGATCGCTGCAGTTGTGTGCAAAACCACTGCAAGGGCAGGTAAGTATAGACATGTTTGTTGTGTTATTAAAAAAAAAAATGAAGCTTAGGGCCCCATATACACGGGACACTTCTGAACTATGGAAACCGACTGCTGGAAAATGGAGGTTAAAAAAAGTCTGTTTAGTCATGTTTCTGCGCGTTTATGTGCGTTTGGAAATGTTTTTTAAAGATCAGCACAGGAGAACCTCCCAAATGCCCAGAATGCACTGAAAAGTGGTAAATTATTAACTATTTCAGAGAAATACAGAGAGTAGAAGCAGAGACAGCAGTATGTGTTGAGATTAGCTTAGGTGTGAGTTGACCTTCTTTTGTTTACAAGGGTGGGAGAGGTCTGAGGTGTGAATGGTCATTAACATATCTTTTGTTTCCAAGGGTGGGAGAGGTCTGAGGTGTGAATGGTCATTAACATATCTTTTGTTTACAGAGGTGGGAAAGGTGTCTGGTGGAGGGAGTCATTAAGGCCACCTGGCAGGGGGGTCTTCATGAGGAATTTGAGGTGTGAATGGTCATTAACATATCTTTTGTTTCCAAGCATGGGAGAGGTCTGAGGTGTGAATGATCATTCTAACATATCTTTTGTTTCCAAGGGTGGGAGAGGTCTGAGGTGTGAATGGTCATTATAACATATCTTTTGTTTCCAAGGGTGGGAGAGGTCTGAGGTGTGAATGGTCATTAACATATCTTTTGTTTCCAAGGGTGGGAGAGGTCTGAGGTGTGAATTGGTTATTAACATATCTTTTGTTTCCAAGGGTGGGAGAGGTCTGAGGTGTGAATTGGTCATTAACATATCTTTTGTTTCCAAGGGTGGGAGAGGTCTGAGGTGTGAATGGTCATTAACATATCTTTTGTTTCCAAGGGTGGGAGAGGTCTGAGGTGTGAATGGTCATTAACATATCTTTTGTTTCCAAGGGTGGGAGAGGTCTGAGGTGTGAATTGGTCATTAACATATCTTTTGTTTCCAAGGGTGAGAGAGGTCTGAGATGTGAATGGTCATTAACATATCTTTTGTTTCCAAGGGTGGGAGAGGTCTGAGGTGTGAATGGTCATTAACATATCTTTTGTTTCCAAGGGGTGGGAGAGGTCTGAGGTGTAAATTGGTCATTACAATATATGACAAGTTTGGTAGGAACATCCCGTGTTCAGTGTTTTTTTCCATTTGAGTACCTTGAAAATGCTTTGCATGCATTTTTCATGATGAAAAAGGCTCTGGACAGCATCGGGAACTGGAAGAGTTAAAAAAAAATTTCAAACGCTTATAAACGCGATTTGCTGCGTTTAGCGTTTAAAACGCTGATAAAAAAATCGACTGCTGAACGCAAGTTTTCTGCGTTCAAACAAACAACTGTAAACGAAGATGTGTACACGGACACATAGGAGGACATTAGGGAGAGTTCAGGGGCTGCTGAAAAAAACGCTGAACAGCTCCTGAACGTCAGTTTATCAGCTGCAGTGTACATGGGGCCCTTAGTATCACTTTAAGTGCTTTTATATTTTAGATATACTACACTTTACAATAAAAAGGATATACACAGTTTCACACGTTGTGAGTTTCCCCCCCCCGATTCCCTTTTATGGCCCGATGGACTATTCTGGGCTACTGGATGGGATTCCATGGTGATCTTGTATGGACATTTGAAGGTGACACCAGGTCCCCCACAGACCATGTAGCAGCCTACATGGGCATAGGACTCTTTTTATATAAAGGCCCCAATTGTTCGGGGAAGAGTCCTCTTAACCTCAGGTGGTGGTACACTTTGGTTTTGCAAGCCTCTGGATCAGGGGCGGACTGACAACTCATGGGGCCCCAGGGCAATAAGGGATCATGGGGCCCCTGTGTCCTCGCCCCCCCCCCCAAAAAAAAAAGCCTATGAAAAAGCCAATGAAAGGTACCAGGGGCATCTCATGGGGCCCCCAACTGACCCTGGGCCCTTGGGCAGTGCCTGAGTGCTCGAATGGTCAGTCCGCCACTGCTCCAGATATACAAGATTTCTCTTCTCGCATCGATGGATTTGGATTCAAGTATATTAGGACTGTTATTTTTTCCTTTTTTTTTTACTTCTTGTTCACGATAACACAATATTTGTTTGTTTTGGTTTTTTTTTGGTTAATCACCAAATCACATCACAATGTGAATTTATATACACTATATTTCCTCAAAGTATTGTCCTCGCCCTCCAATGTAGCCCTCTGTGGCCCCCCGAAGCCCTCTGAATGTGGCCCCCCGAAGCCCTCTGAATGTGGCCCCCCGAAGCCCTCTGAATGTGGCCCTCTAAGGCCTCTGAATGTGGCCCTCTAAGCCCTCTGAGTGTGGCCCTCTGAATGTGGCCCTCCGAAGCCCTCTGAATGTGACCCTCCGAAGCCCTCTGAATGTGACCCTCCGAAGCCCTCTGAATGTGACCCCCCCCCAAAGCCCTCTGAATGTGACCCCCCCCCCAAAGCCCTCTGAATGTGACCCCCCCCCGAAGCCCTCTGAATGTGGGCCCCCGAAGCCCTCTGAATGTGGCCCCCCGAAGCCCTCTGAATGTGGCCCTCTAAGGCCTCTGAATGTGGCCCTCTAAGCCCTCTGAGTGTGGCCCTCTGAATGTGGCCCTCCAAAACCCTCTGAATGTGACCCTCCGAAGCCCTCTGAATGTGACCCTCCGAAGCCCTCTGAATGTGACCCTCCGAAGCCCTCTGAATGTGACCCTCCGAAGCCCTCTGAATGTGACCCCCCCCGAAGCCCTCTGAATGTGGCCCTCTAAGCCCTCTGAATGTGGCCCTCTAAGCCCTCTGAATGTGGCCCTCTAAGCCCTCTGAATGTGGCCCTCTAAGCCCTCTGAATGTGGCCCTCTAAGCCCTCTGAATGTGGCCCTCTAAGCCCTCTGAATGTGGCCCTCTAAGCCCTCTGAATGTGGCCCTCTAAGCCCTCTGAATGTGGCTCTAGAAGCCCTCTGAATGTGGCCCTCCTAAGCCCTCTGAATGTGGCCCTCCTAAGCCCTCTGAATTTGGCCCTCCTAAGCCCTCTGAATGTGGCCCTCCTAAGCCCTCTGAATGTGGCCCTCTAAGCCCTCTGAATGTGGCCCTCTAAGCCCTCTGAATGTGGCCCTCTAAGCCCTCTGAATGTGGCCCTCTAAGCCCTCTGAATGTGGCCCTCTAAGCCCTCTGAATGTGGCCCTCTAAGCCCTCTGAATGTGGCCCTCTAAGCCCTCTGAATGTGGCCCTCTAAGCCCTCTGAATGTGGCCCTCTAAGCCCTCTGAATGTGGCCCTCTAAGCCCTCTGAATGTGGCCCTCTAAGCCCTCTGAATGTGGCCCTCTAAGCCCTCTGAATGTGGCCCTCTAAGCCCTCTGAATGTGGCCCTCTAAGCCCTCTGAATGTGGCCCTCTAAGCCCTCTGAATGTGGCCCTCTAAGCCCTCTGAATGTGGCCCTCTAAGCCCTCTGAATGTGGCCCTCTAAGCCCTCTGAATGTGACCCTCTAAGCCCTCTGAATGTGAGCCTCCAAAGCCCTCTGAATGTGGCCCTCCGAAGCCCTCTGAATGTGGCTCTAGAAGCCCTCTGATGTGGCCCTCGACCTCAAACCAGGGAAGCAAACTTCTATTATATGCTGCAGGTTTTGTGCGCTTTCAGAAAGTACCCCACACCTGCAAGATATATATAATATAAGTTTTTTTAATGCAAAGCACAGCTGACCCGCAGGAACGTCGCAGGTGCACAGTGAAATGTGTTTTTACCCCCCCCCCTCCAACCACTGGCGCCAGGGCTCATAATAGCAATCCAACCCCATGCTCCCTCTCTCCCATTCTGTTTTAGACTTGGACAGGGGGACACGGCTGGGGGCGGCACATACGGGATCCATTCTCCTTCAAAATGGAAAATGTTCATTATGCTTTTCAAAATAAAAAAAAATTTTAAATTCGGAACCATTTCATTTCACCTAAGTGGCCCTCGCTCTTCAAAATGTTGAGCAGTCCTGAGCTTAATTCCGGGGAGGAGGATGAGAAAAGCTGCTTTCATTGGCTTAAATGAAGGCTTTTGTTACCTCTCTCACATGCTTGGAGGACAACCTTGGACTTGGACAAGCTGCATCCCCTTTGACACATTCAGGCAGAGTTCAGCTCCTACTGTATGGTGATGAGTGCTGGGCTGTGGGTTTTGGACAGTCCGGGTTCACAAGGCTGTGGGAATGTGGTCTAAAACCAATGCCTTGGAACACCGGGCCTCCATTAGCGGTGGTTCTGCAGAGCAGTATATTTTGGTGTAATTGTTGGCAATCCAGTATTCCATCTTGTCCCCCCCGTGTCACAGAACATCAACATATCCGCTATAACCCCCTCCATGATGACTGGGTGCTGGTCTCCGCTCACCGGATGAAGAGACCCTGGCAGGGGCAGCTGGAGAGTCCTCCACAGGAGAACATCCCCAGGAACGACCCCAAGAACCCGCTATGCCCTGGAGCCTGCAGAGCTGGAGGTCAGGTAATGGAGAGCAAGCCTCAGTTTTCCAAGTTTTCAAAGAAAGACTTGACTAGGGGTGGAAGAAATGTCTAAGGCTCAAATGATCACCTGGGAGATCATCACCATCAGCCAAAGCCAAGTGGCAAACAGGGCACACCTACATATATGAAAAAAGGGTCCTCCTCCACCAATCCCCTCTTTTCTAATGATACAAACAGAAATGCTGATCTATAATCAGCCCAAAACCAGTGGTGTCACTAGGGTTGGTGTCACCTGGTGCGGTAAAACATGTCACCTCCCCCTGCCTCAGCTTTGAATATACCCTGTTAGTATGTTGGGGGGTTGATGGATGAAGTGTAGCATGTCCGTATGTTGGGGGGGGGGTGTTGAAATATACCATCTTAGTATGTAGGTGTGGGGGAGATGATTAATTAGGGGTGGTTGATAGAATGTACCATGTCCGTATTCAGGGGGGACTATGAATGAATTGTACCATGTCCCTGTATAGGGGAGTGATGGATGGAATGTCCCATGTCAGTATGTAGGGGGCTATGAATGGATTGTACCATGTCCCTGTATAGGGGAGTGATGGATGGAATGTACCATGTCAGTATGTAGGGGGCTATGAATGGATTGTACCATGTCCCTGTATACGGGAGTGTTGGATGGAATGTACAATGTCCGTATTTAGGGGGACTATGAATGGACTGTACCATGTCCCTGTATTGGGGAGTGATGGATGGAATGTACCATGTCCGTATTTAGGGGGACTATGAATGGACTGTACCATGTCCCAGTATAGGGGAGTGATGGATGGAATGTACCATGTCCATATTCAGGGGGACTATGAATGGATTGTACCATGTCCCTGTATAGGGGAGTGATGGATGGAATGTACCATGTCAGTATGTAGGGGGCTATGAATGGATTGTACCATGTCCCTGTATACGGGAGTGTTGGATGGAATGTACAATGTCCGTATTTAGGGGGACTATGAATGGACTGTACCATGTCCCTGTATTGGGGAGTGATGGATGGAATGTACCATGTCCGTATTTAGGGGGACTATGAATGGACTGTACCATGTCTCAGTATAGGGGAGTGATGGATGGAATGTACCATGTCCATATTCAGGGGGACTATGAATGGACTGTACCATGTCCCTGTATTGGGGAGTGATGGATGGAATGTACCATGTCAGTATGCAGGGGGGCTATGAATGGATTATACCATGTCCCTGTATAGGGGAGTGATGGATGGAATGTACCATGTCAGTATGTAGGGGGCTATGAATGGATTATACCATGTCCCTGTATAGGGGAGTGATGGATGGAATGTACCATGTCAGTATGTAGGGGGCTATGATTGGATTACACCATGTCCCTGTATAGGGGAGTGATGGATGGAATGTACCATGTCAGTATGCAGGGGGCTATGAATGGATTGTACCATGTCCCTGTATAGGGGAGTGATGGATGGAATGTACCATGTCAGTATGTAGGGGTGCAGTAGAGGAGGTTTGGAATTCCCCATGTCTTAGTGACGTCACGGACAGGTGGGGCAGGAGATGGATGTCTCCCATTGGTGCTAGAGAAGGAAAAAACACAGCACACACACAACATTCTATCTCTCTCTGGTCTTTTCTCTGAGCTCCAGAACACAAGCACCAGAAATCCTCATCCGATCCTCTCCACACACTCTGACCCCGAGTCTCTCTGCCTCCTGTTCCCCCTTCATGGGCAGAAATATGGGCTATCTTTCTGGCTCCCCCTATAGGGATGAATGGGTGTTGGACTCCAGAAACATGGCGGCTCATCCCAGCCAGGGATCCTGGCCTTCCCTGAGCTGAAGTGGACACTGAATAGGTGTCACCCCTCTGGTGGGTGTCACCTGGGTGCGGTTTGCGCCCGCATAGCGATCCCACTGTCCAAAACTCAACAGATTGAAGCAGATGTTCTGCAGTCAGATGCTGACTTTGTGTAGTATGACCAGGGCTACCACTAGGTGAACTAGACAGCCACCTAGGGTGCTACTACCTCCTAGGGCACAGCCACCAACGTTGGTTTCCCTACTAGCCGCCATGGCTGGATCTAGGGATTGAAGGAAGAGGATTGGTGCTGGGAGGGGGATTGGGGGGATTTGTGCTAGGAGATGGGGATTTGTGTTAGGAAGGGGGATAGAGGGGAAATTTGTGCTAGAAGGGGGGGATTGGGAGGGGTTGTGCTAGGAGGGGGGAATTGGGTGGGAAGGAAGGATTTGTGCTGGGAAGTATACTTTGGAGGGGGTTGAGCTAGGAGGAGCGATTTAGGGGGATTTAAATTTCAGGGGAAAGAGAATGTGATTTTTTTTTTTTTTTTTTTTGGGGGGGGGTTTATGCTAGGAGAGGGGGATTTGTGTTAGGAAGGGGGATAGGGGAGAAAATTGTGCTAGGAGGGGAAGATTGGGAGGAGAGGAAGGATTTGTGCTGGGAAGTATACTTTTGGAGGGTGTTGTGCTAGGAGGAGCGATTTAGGGGGATTTAAATTTGAGGGGAAGGAGAATGTGATTTTTTTTTTTTTTGGGAGGGGGGGTTCCGTTAGGAGGGAAGTCCGGGGGGGGGGGATTGCTAGTAGGAAGGGGGATAGGGGAGAAAATTGGGCTAGAAGGGGGGATTGGGAGGGGTTGTGCTAGGAGGGGGGAATTGGGTGGGAAGGAAGGATTTGTGCTGGGAAGTATACTTTGGAGGGGGTTGTGCTAGGAGAAGCGATTTGGGGGGATTTAAATTTGAGGGGAAGGAGAATGTGATTTTTTTTTTTTTTTGGGGGGGGGGGTTCCGTTAGCAGGGAAGTCCGGGGGAGGGGGGGAATGCTAGGAGGATGGATTTGGGGGGGGGATTTATGCTAGGACGGGGGATAGGGGAGAAAATTGTGTGCTAGGAGGGGGGGATTGGGAAGGGAGGACGGATTTGTGCTGGGAAGTATACTTTGGAGGGGGTTGTGCTATGAGGAGCGATTTAGGGGGATTTAAATTTGAGGGGAAAGAGAATGTTTTTTTTTTTTTTTTTTATGGGGGGGTTTGTGTTAGGAGGGAAGATCGGGGGGGGGGATTGCAAGGAGGATGGATTTGGGGGGGGGGGGGGGTGGGATTTATGCTAGGACTGGGGATAGGGGAGAAAATTGTGCTAGGAGGGGGGATTGGGAGGGGAGGAAGGATTTGTGCTTGGAAGTATACTACTTTGAAGGGTGTTTTGCTAGGAAGAGCAATTTAGGGGGTTTTAAATTTGAGGGGGAAAAGCCATGTGATTTTTTTTTTTTTGGGTGGGGGGGTTGTGTTAGGAGGGAAGATTGGGGGGGGGGGGGATTGCTAGGAGGGGAGATTTTGGGGGGTGGGGGATTTATGCTAGGAGAGGGGGATTTTTTTTGTTAGGAAGGGGGATAGGGGAGAAAATTGTGCTGGGAAGTATACTTTGGAGGGGGTTGTGCTAGGAGGAGCGATTTAGGGGGGTTTAAATTTGAGGGGAATGAGAATGTGTGATTTGTTTTTTTAAGTTTTTTTTTTTTTTTGGGGGGGGGGGGTTGGGTTTATTAAGTGGCTGATCTCACCTAGGGTGCAAAATAGACTAGCACTGGCCCTGAGTATAACCTGGGTTGCAGTCATTTGCACCAAGAATCTCATTGGTTTGGCTGTAGGTCACATGTCAGCGTGGCCTAGGTGACATTTTAACATCATGTAAGCCTTCCTCCCCGGAACTGACAGACAAATAACACAACAATCATCATCATAAAAAATGGTTTCCAATAAATGTGTTCAGTACACAAATACTATAATGCTGAGGCAGACATGGGGGGTCTCCTGAGTGACAGAACCATCTGTTGGTTCCTTGAAAAACTCAAGCCAGCATACCTGTTCTTATCTGGTAAACACATGGGGGGGGGGATTTACTAAAACTGGAGAGTGCGAAATCTGGTGCAGCTCTGCATGGGAGCCAATCAGCTTCTCAGCTTGGTCAATTAAGCCTAGACAACAAAACCTGGAAGCTGATTGGTTTCCGCAGCAGATTTCGCTTTCTCCAGTTTTAGTAAATAAACGCCATTGCTAGCTGTTCGGAGTTATTCATTTTCTTCTTCTCCTCTGGGTTCAGGTAAATCCTGATTACAAGGGGACGTTTGTCTTTGAAAATGACTTCCCTGCCCTGCAACCAGATGCCCCAGAGCCAGGTGAGTCTGACTCAGCTGTGACCACAGCTTTAAATAGAGGAGGCAGGATGGTCAGCGAGGGGCGAGGAGGTGGGGTGGCCAGCGAGGGGCGAGGAGGTGGGGTGGTCAGCGAGGGAAGAGGAGGTGGGGTGGTCAGCGAGGGGAGAGGAGGTGGGGTGGCCAGCGAGGGAAGAGGAGGTGGGGTGGCCAGCGAGGGAAGAGGAGGTGGGGTGGCCAGCGAGGGAAGAGGAGGTGGGGTGGCCAGCGAGGGAAGAGGAGGTGGGGTGGCCAGCGAGGGAAGAGGAGGTGGGGTGGCCAGCGAGGGAAGAGGAGGTGGGGTGGCCAGCGAGGGAAGAGGAGGTGGGGTGGCCAGCGAGAGGGAGAGGAGGTGGGGTGGTCAGCGAGGGGAGAGGAGGTGGGGTGGTCAGCGAGGGGAGAGGAGGTGGGGTGGTCAGCGAGGGGAGAGGAGGTGGGGTGGCCAGCGAGGGAAGAGGAGGTGGGGTGGGCCAGCGAGGGAAGAGGAGGTGGGGTGGCCAGCGAGGGGAGAGGAGGTGGGGTGGCCAGCGAGGGGAGAGGAGGTGGGGTGGGTCAGCGAGGGAAGAGGAGGAGGGGTGGCCAGCGAGGGGAGAGGTGGTGGGGTGGCCAGCAAAGGGAGAGGAGGTGGGGTGGCCAGCGAGGGGAGAGGAGGTGGGGTGGCCAGCGAGGGGAGAGGAGGTGGGGTGGCCAGCGAGGGGAGAGGAGGTGAGGTGGCCAGCGAGGGGAGAGGAGGTGGGTGGTCAGCGAGGGAAGAGGAGGAGGGGTGGCCAGCGAGGGGAGAGGTGGTGGGGTGGCCAGCAAAGGGAGAGGAGGTGGGGTGGCCAGCGAGGGGAGAGGAGGTGGGGTGGCCAGCGAGGGGAGAGGAGGTGGGGTGGCCAGCGAGGGGAGAGGAGGTGGGATGGCCAGCGAGGGGAGAGGGGCTGGGGTGGCCAGCGAGGGGAGAGGGGCTGGGGTGGCCAGCGAGGGGAGAGGGGCTGGAGTGGCCAGCGAGGGGAGAGGGGCTGGAGTGGCCGGAGAGGGGCTGGGGTGGCCAGCGAGGGTGCCATGGTGGTTCTGCTACTACAGCCATGTCTCTTTCCTTACTGACCACCCCACATCTTTTTTCCCTGCCTGACCAACCGCTTCCTTCCCTCGCTGACCACCACCAGCTCCTCTCGCTGACCACCACCAGCTCCTCTCCCCTCGCTGACCACCCCAGCTCCTCTCCTCTCCTCTCTCCAGCGAGGGGAGCTGGGGTGACCAGCATGGGAAGAGGAGCTGGGTAGGTCAGGCAGGGAAAAAAGATGTGGGGTGGTCAATAAGGAAAGAGGAGACATGGTTGTAGTGGTGGAACCACCAGGGCCCTGGCATTCCGCCACCATCGCAGTGCCCCAAGAGGGCAGGAGGGGGCCTGCTGAAGAACAAGTGAAAGGGTCCCACTGTAGGACACAAGGCTCGGCTCACTCTGCTGCAACCCCAAAGTCCTGTGACTTATTTGTAACTTGCTTACGATTTCCTTGGGTCTTTTGTGATTCAACATCGCAGTCTGTGGCACTCAAATTACACCAAAGTTGCAGAAAAGTAGTGCAAACCCTTTTTTTTTTTTTTTTTTTTTTTTTTTTTTTTTTTGTCTTTGCAACTTGAGTCACATTGGGCCCAGCAACCGGAGTAAAGGGCCCTCAGGATCAGTGGGAAGGGCCCTGGGCTGAAAGGGTAGTGCCCCGGAATGATGGAAAGGACCCCAGGGCCGATGGAAAGGGCCCTGGTAGTCAGGGGGTTTCTTGCACCGCGGCACTGAAGGTTCTAGTTACACCTCCTGCATGATGGTCAGTGAGGGAAGAGAGGGTGGGTGGTATAGCAGCAAAGAGGAGGTAGTGGTCGGAGATGGAAAAGGAGGTGGGGTGATCAATGAGGGAAGAGGAGATGGTGTGGTGAGCGAGGGAAGAGGAGATGGTGTGGTCAGCGAGGGAAGAGGAGATGGTGTGGTCAGCGAGGGAAGAGGAGATGGTGTGGTCAGCGAGGGAAGAGGAGATGGTGTGGTCAGCGAGGGAAGAGGAGATGGTGTGGTCAGCGAGGGAAGAGGAGATGGTGTGGTCAGCGAGGGAAGAGGAGATGGTGTGGTCAGTGAGTGAAGCCGAGGTGAGTTGGTCAGTGAAGTATGAGAAGATGGAGTGGTCGGTGAGGAAATAGTAGGTGGGATCGTCAAGGGGGGAAGAAAATTAAGGTGATCAGTAAAGGGGAAAAAAGGTAGGGCGATCAATGGAGGAAGAGGAGGTGAGTGTGGAGGAGATTTGGTACTCGGCAGCTAAAGATAAAGGCGGTCGGGGAGGGAAGAGGTAGTGAGGTATTCAATGGACGTTTGTTTGTTCCCTAGGTCCCAGCAACCACCCCCTACTGCAAGCAAAATCTGCACGTGGCGTTTGGTAATATTGTTAAATTGGTGGTCTGTCATTATATTAATCAGCCTGTCGGTGGGTTTGCCAGTAGTTTGAGCCAATCAGGATGTGTTGTGTTGAAGAGTGCTGCCAATCTACCATGTTGGAGAAGGTTGTCATTGGGGGGGGGGGGGGGGTTCAGGCAACACTGGCTACAAATGTGGTTTTGACTGTTTTTGTCTGGAGTTGTGTATTTGGTAAGTATGCTCCTCACCCGCCATAGACTTCCTTCAGCTGCCTTCCTGCATAGTATAGTTTTTCTTTCTCATCCATTGAGGAACACAGGAAGTCTTGAACCCCCAGATTATACTGCCACCCACAGGAGGAGTGGACACCAGCAAACAAAAAAATCTGTAAACCAGCCCAGGAAATCCCCTCCTAGTCCTAGTATGCCTCAGTTTATTGCTAGTGTCCCAGGAGGATGGACGTCTTTTCTTCATCTCTTCAGCTATAATTTTGGTAGCATTTTTTGGGGGTCTTGTTCGATTTTTCTACATTTTACATTTTTCTACTTTTTTAGTTATTCACTGTGGTTGTCCTAAACCTGACTAGACTGGATGATGCGGGGATAGCCTGAAATTGAACTTTGGGCACCGGGTTCTGAATGGGGTGCTTTCCAGACTACGTCTGGGTAAAGTTGACTGTGGAACACTTTCCAGGTCCAGATCTGCTGGCATCCCAAGATTCCCTTGAGTGCTGATGTCATCAGTTGGGTGCAATGCTATGAGTGTGGTCTGCACGCACTTTTCCAACATTCAGCGTTGAAGACGCGCCTCCACACTCTGCTTAGCAAATCCATGTGGAATTTTGATCCAAAGTGGTCACCCTCCAGCCATCCAAACCCATACCGAATACCAGCTGTTTGGGTTTCTTGAGTACTGGAGGCCTTACCCTAAGCCTACACGTTGCTTTTCCACCACATAGCTGCTGATTCAAGACACGGGGGCACAGTCCCGCTATACTGGGTGCCCCCCCTCACTTTCTACTAATGGCTGTGAGGTTGCCTTCAATGCCCCTACTGTCTTCGGCAGCCTAAAGTCATGCTGCCCTTTGCTCTCAGAGCCTATTCCATCCTCTTTAGTTCTGTTGCATATGGCAGCAGTCTCTTCCCGATTGGTTGAGGTCTTTACTACCACCATGCAACACTTGATGGCCCAAATCCTCCAGTCACTTGCTGACTTGGATCGCAGAGCCCACGGGCACTCTTGTATATCTGATTTGCACACAGCGTTAGAGGCTTCCAAGCCATTGACCACAGGGACTCTGCCTGATTCTGAGTTGCTCCAGTCCCTAATTGAAGAGTGAACCTGAGGAATTCCAGTGTACTTCTATTACTTCCAAATTAAAGGAGAATGTTGGGACCTTTAATGATGCACTCTGAAATGTGAGGATCAGGCTGTTGCTTCTTCCATTGCTCCTCCAGAAGTGTCACCACAACACGAGAAGCAGATGGGATCTTGTCCTGGTCAGAACTTCACGTCCCAGCCTTGTTAGCTATGCATCTTTCAGGTGTAGACTGTTGGCAACCACTGGACCTAGATAAGCGGTCCCTACACCTGGTTTTAGGACCTGTGTCACCTATTTTGGACCTTCTGGCCTTCAGTTCAACAACAAACTAGCCGGATATAGGGATCCTCCAGTGGATGCCCTGCGATCGGTGGGATCTTCTCACTGGTCAGCTCGGTCATGTGGTGTTGCTGACCAATGAGCGCTTGTCACTGTGACCGTTCTGATGGGATAATCGCTCTGGGACTGTGTGCTGCGCATTCGGTGTATGGACCACTACACCGTCAGCATGTGGCAGCACAGCTGCTATGGCAGCGGGGTCCAGAGGGGTGGCAAGGATATTTGGAGACAGAGCTGCTGTTAGAAATCACAGGGCCCCATGCAGCCTACATGACAGGGCCCCTCCCGTTCGAAAATATCACCTGCCCTGTTGGAGAGGCTTTGGTGAAATATCAGGGTCTAAATAGATCCCTGATGTCTCACATTTGAGACAGAGAAGGGGACTGAGGACATAGTCATCAGTCCCTCTCTCTTCAGCCTCAGCTGCACTGGACAATGAATGAATCGGAAGCTCACTAAGGCTTTCCACAAACCCAAGCATAGTTAACACAGTTTACTATGCTTCAGTGATGAATGGATACAAGAGCAATCTGTACCGATTGTGGAAATGGACACATATTTACCAACCCCCCCCCAACTCCCACAGCAGCCGGTGGGAGAGGTGGGAAGCCAGCAGCGCTGCAAAGGAGGGGGCACATGGGGGGCCCAACAGCAGTGGAAGGGGGTGTAGATCCTAGAACTGACTCCCCTGCAGCGCAGATGGAGGGATAAATTTGATGAGAAGCTGTCATCCAGCCGTCCATCACGGCAGGTGCCAAGGCCCCCCATTTTTGAACTGATGGGGCCCAGTACCTATCCTGTAGGTGGCAGTGTTTAAGGTTTAAGACTTCCTGTGTCCCCAATGGACTCCAAAGAAAACTATTTTACACAGAGAATAAAAATCCTAATATTAGGAAGTGATAGGCAAGGAAGTTAGGACTGGAGCTCTCACTAGGATTGATCCAACACTGATGAGCCTTTATTTTCTGCCCAGCCAGGTGATGTGT